CACACACAGCAACTCTAAATTTTCATTATTCTGTGCATTTCTATTCACCATGTGTTCTTTAACCTTAAGTCTTTTATGTGGTGACATGCTCATCGTAGATATGAAACGTACCTATAATCTCTTTTAAAAAAAATCTATTCTGCGAATTTTTGTGTCATTTCCTTCCAGTCCATATGTTTGTTTTCCGTGAATATATGGTGCCAAATGCCTAATCTTGACCTCCTTCTCTCCCCCAATCCACCCACCCCCGCTTTATCCTGCAGTGATATTATGAGCTTAGGAATCACATTGGTTGGCCATCAAAAGAAAATAATGAGCAGCATTCAGACTATGAGAGCACAAATGTTACATTTACACGGCACTGGCATCCAAGTGTGATAGACATTTCTCCCTTACGAGGGAGGTGACAGACTTGAGAGAATCGTGCCGGCCTTCCATCACATGAAGTGCTCCCGGAAGACGCATTATTTTCTGGGCCCTTCCTGCAGACAACAGAAGGCTCACAAGAAGCACCTACAGACTTGAACTCCTAAGTGCCACCAGAAAGTTACTTTAAAAAGGGGAAAAAAATGGATCCACCGATGGCGGCAATGAAAGCAGTGACAATAAACAAAGTACTACCTGAAACACCTACAAACACCTTGAACTCTCTAACCTCCTTTTTATCTAATGGACTTTTTAAAATGTACATAAGGGATTTTAAAAAGAAAGAAAGAATATATTTGTCAGATGAAAATCATGATATTATTGTTAAAAATCTACAAGATATTTTCCTCAAACCATTGATTTCAAGTTTTTCTCCCTCTCTCTCTTTTTTTGAGCAATCAGTTGTGTTCCTTCTTCATATAGATCTTTTAGTGTGAAATTTATATCTTTCGAACATTTTAGTGCTGAGCATATGATACATTATTACACTGGGGACTTTTGAAAGATTGTATGAATTTCTACAGACGCAGGAAGTGTCACTGAGAAATGTGTATCAGGCTAGCTACCGGGTAGGTTGAAGTGGGGCTTGGGTAGGGTTTTCTTTCATGACATTTATTTGTTAATTCCACACCACATTGATGTGGTTTGCTAATTGGCAGGAAATCAGGAAAAAAAAAGATGTTGCCAAGAGTTATGATATTTTTAAAAATACTTTTGTAGGACTAATCACATGCTCTCTTTAAACAGGAAATGAATAAAATTGAGAACCTAGCAATAATGTTCCCTAAAAAGCCTAGGCACTTTTAAAGAAATGGCTTCAAAGGTGGCTTTAGTAGGTTGCCTGGTTTAAATGGAAGCTGTACATCTGCAACTTGAAACTTGCTGAGACCCCTTTCACTGAATGATTGGTTATAGGTGTGTCATAAAAACAACAACAAACAGGTACAGTACTGTAGGGTTGTCTAGCCTTTTAATCAGAGCACATTGGGGGTTTACTGTTGTTGTGTGTTTTTTCATGTGTTTTCTTTTCAACAGTTCACATTAGAAGGTCTAGGAGGAACAACTGGCATATGGTTAAATATAAGATTAAATTGAATGTAGTCCTTCTTGCAAAAATAAAGATCTGAGGGTGCAATCCAGAAAGCAGTAAGCATATCTACATGCTTCTACTTGAGTTATCAGGAATTTAGCATTTAATTCTGTGCTTAAAATACACTGATTTCTATATGGGCATAGTTCCAGTTCATATATTACCCTATATTACCCTCTTTGTGTGCAGTACTGGGTGTACAGACAATCTCACATATGACACCTCTCTCATACAGATTACCCTGTGTTTAGTATCACCTTATGATGAATTCTCGAGGGGCCTGCAACCAATACGAACAAATCTTCACCCCCTTTCTATGGCAAAGAATTGTGTTTCTTGTGGGAGTACCTCTGTACCCTTTAATGAGATCTAGGAAAGCAAAAGAGTTCTGTTAGCTTCAGCTGCCCTGACCAGAGTAACTTTTTTGCATCTCCTGAGGCACACTGTAAATAAACATGCCTCACTTCGAGAATTAGGCTCACGTGGCATTTCAGAGAAACAAGGTGCATGCAAAACAATGCATATGTTTAATAATGTGGGTGGCTAAAATGGCATAGCATTGAAAAAAATGGACAAATAAACTATTCAGTTGGGGAAATGTGTACCTTAGATGCCTAAAGAAATACATATATTAGGTTATTGTGGAAAGTAAGGTCATGTTAGGAAAATATATAGTGATGCATATAAATTTCAATCAAGGAAGAAACAATAGAGTTTTGCCATCTGATACAAAAGAAGACTAGGGGGGAAGTGCAGGTGAAACAAAACAAAAAATAGAAACCGAGCAATTTTCAGATCCTTAGCAGTGAGGAAATAGTAGAAGGTACTTCTTTTCCATCTGAATCAGAGCACTGCGGCCAGTAACATATCGTCCAGGCATAATCTGATTTTCTCTAGACTACGTTATTGGGGCAAGATCTTATCTGGAAAAAGAAAATAATGTGTGATTTGACTAGAATCCCATTGGTGTTCGTGTAAGGTTTGTGTGGCATGCCACAGATAATTGCAGCTCATAGACAAGGTGCCAAGGATCAGCTGCAGTGCATAACCTGACATATGCCCTGAGACCTCAGCCTTTAGCTGCGGTTAATTATGTAAACCTTTACGTCAAGACCAATGAGATTCTGACCATTGCGTTACAATATTCTAGGACCCAAATTCACCTAACTCTCTGGATTGCACTCCTCCTGTACAAGCTCTAATAAAATGAATGAGAAATGAACAACCGCTATGGGGCTTGCACAAGGGATGTTCCTATCAGATGGTGCCTTCGGATTTTCTATTAGACCTGTAGAGTGTAAGGAAAGTGGCAGTTCGCAATTTCAAAGGTCTTTTCCTCTTTTTTTAACAAGCTGCTCTAGACACACACTTTCATTTATGACTTCTGACTGAAAGGTAGCTGTTGGGTGAGAGAACTCTTTTTTTAAAAAAAAAAATTATACCAGTTTTAATTTAACATATGTATACTTGAGTTGAGTGAAATGTAGAATTACCATAAGCAATAACAAAAGTGTGTTGCAGGAATATATACAAAACAGGTGATTTATGCTGTCAAAAATATCATGAAAATCATGAGCTACCCCAGCAGTGAGTAGCTGTACTTCCAAAGAACTGGGCTGCTCCCATTGGTTTTCATAAAGAAAGATCCCAGGGATCAGTCGTATAAATTAATTCTTGTTAGATAATGTGGGCATCCACAGGGGAAGAAAAAAAGAAATAATCTGTAAATGTTCCTTTGTAAAACTTGTACATTTTATTTATACTGTCTTGTTTTGTACACACATTTCTGTGCAGTGAGCTCTGAATACATTGAAAATGCACTATATTTTTCTATTTTACTTACAGAGCATCACAAAGAGAACATGTTTTTTCATTGCTACATAATGTGTTTTCCAACATTTAGGACCAAAGATAGCTACCGAAAACTCAAATCATTCCCCTCCCTTTTATTATTATTTTCCTTTTAAAGCACTGTACAGTGTGATATTTGTCATTTATTTATTTTGTTGGTTAGAAAAATCATTTTGATTATACTATTTTTTTCTTCTTCCTTTTCCCCTTTGTTAAAGAAATCTGTAAAAAAGACAAATGAACAAAAAAATCTTTGAAATAACATAATCCCATTACATAGACACTTCCATTTGTAATCTTTGTAATAGACTGTAAATATATTTTTGGAAATACAACAGTGTGAATAAGGGTTATTTTTCATTCTCTGTCTATATAGCAATCACAGCACTTTATAATCTTTATAATTTTATGTGAGAAGCATAATTTTCCCATAAGCATTGGAAGTTTTAAAAAGTGTAGGTGAGTGTATTAATTTCATATTAAACTGTGAATAGAATTGTGAAAAGGCGAACTTTTCCCAGATTTATAAGTATCCTCAAAGCAATAAATCATAAGAATATCCTGCAAACTTACAACCTGATCCTAAGCATGTTTACTTGGAATAAGTATTATTTATTTCACTGGGCCTCCTTCCTAGTAAGTGTGCTTAGACCTGCAATATAGTCCCCAAATCTAGTGAGTACTTTGTACACCATATATGCTTCTGTACGTGCATCCCTTGCTATGTGAAGAAGCATACACTGAAAGGTGTTGTATTTGAAAATCCCAGTCCAAACAGTACTCAGTCAGATTGCCAACAGTAATACCAATCACTTCTTTGGGAGTACAAATGAAGGAGGAAGAGAGAGACTTGAATAGCCCCTTCCATTCTCTTGTCTCAAACAGATGATTAGTGTTCTTTTGAATACCTTAAAAGATCCTGAATAGATAATTCCATCTAAAGAAATACATGTTCTGTAGCTCACTGTTCTTCTCATGGATTGTTGGATGAATGCCTAAAATTGTAGCAGCAATCTCGATGAATTTGATTGCAACATTTTCATTGACTTTAAACACTTTTGGTTTGCACTATTACTTTTCAAATTTTTGTCCCTCGTTCTCTTTATACCCTTGTGCAGGGATTTAAGAGCTAACCATTTTTCTTTTTGTTACTTTTGTGCAAAGGAATATCACATGGTCATAGTGCAACCTGGTAAAAGTAACTACATTTATCAGAAAGAAGTATATAAATCTAATCCTATCCATGCATTACAAAATCCTTCTGATTTGGTGAGACATTGCACAAAAGGATCAATTTTCACCATGCAGTCTTCTACAATTTGGAAACTGAACATGTAATGTGAATGGTGGTGCTAAGAGTGGATCTCTAATCTATATCAAACAAGTTACTGGCCATTTATTGTGAGAACAAGTTACCAAAAATTGTAAGAGGCACTAGTTATACACTCAAATGCCAAAATTCTAGTGGTGTCGAATCAAGCATGTGACCAGGCACGCAACCAGCAGCTCATCAATTAGCTGTAATAAATTATGCAAGCCCTTTGCAAATACCAGTAGGCTATTGGTCAATAGTATGAAATAAAGCATTTATGTTTCTTCAAATAAAACCTGCAAGTATAGATTATATTAGCATAAAACCTCATATTGAATCTGTAATATAATTTTGTCAAGGGCCTAATTTATATTGCTAGAATTCCGTGAAGCATCGGAAAAATCGGAGAGTCTTCTTGCTGTATGGGCAGATTATATGGATGCATTGATACCTAAAGTATCCACACACATGCACTTGTTAAGCCAAAATTGCATTTAGAAAACAGTGGACCACTATAAGAACAGATTGTGGTGGATAGCTCAATCAAAAAGTGACATCATAAACTTGGTGTGAGAAAAGGCAAACTAGGCATAATTAGAAAATGAATTGAAGTTAAAACATTCAGTGTCATATCGCCATTATATGACTCCACTGTGGACTCATTCTACAAATTCTCATCCCCAGCCCTAAAGAAGGATATTGTAAAACTAAAAGATGCAGGAAAAGGCAATCAAAATTGCCACGTACTGGAAGATTTCTGCCATAAGGAAAGATCATAATATTTGGAGCTCTTCAGTTCAGGGAAAAAGACAAAGAAAGACCGACATAACAGAAGTATATAAAATCATGCATTGTGTTGAGAAAGTTGTTATGTGCCATCAAGTTACTCTGACATATGGCAACTTTATGAACAAGTGGCTTCCAAAATGTCCTAGCATTAACTGCTCTACTTGGCACTTGCAGTCTCAGGCCTCATATTTCCTTTATAGAGTCAATTTGGATATCTTCTTTTTCTGCTGCCTTTTGCTTTTCCTGGCACTATTTTGCCTTTTTCAGAAAATCTTGTCTTTTTATGATGTGTCCAAAGTACACTTCTTCCATGAATTGCACGGGCCTGAGCAGCATGATTTCAGTTATACCTGGAATTTTTTTTCAATAAATAAATCTTCAGTAAATACTGTGCTGCTATTCATCTCCAGGAACTGGCCTGAGAAAGAGGGAGGGGGTCTAAGTTACTGAGGCCGCTCTTTTTGGTGGTGCGGAAGCCCCCAATCTAATGGTAGCAGCCTGGCTGGCCCTCTTTCCTGGCTTGGCCACTGGGGAGGGTGCTAGAGCATGCCAGGAGGCTGGCATGGGCCGGGTGTGTGTGTGTGTGTGTTTAGGTTTGTTCTGTTTTGTTCTTGTGACTACAAGATTACTCCCTTGCAGAACTCAATGAGATTTCTCTACAGTTAGAAGAAGAAGACAGAGATTCTTAGCATTTCATGGCTGTGTCACTTTTTAGCTCTTGATCTAAACTAAACAATTAAAGGCAATAGAAATGTCCCTTTCCCTAATACCTCGTCCATAATAAGATCAGAATGCAAAAAAGTTTTAAAATATGCATGCCAGGGATAACACTGAATCTACACTTGCAACAATGAAGTTTTGATGGGCGGGGAATGGGTCAACCCAGTTAGCTGACTGAATTCATGGCCTTGGTGAGCACTTTGAACGTAATGGATTCTTTATAGGTGATCTGGAAAGAGCAAGACAAAGGCTCAGCTGAAGGCTTTCACATATGAGACACCTGCAGTGTTGAAGTCTCCTTTTTCCCTTCCCTCCCTCTCCCACTCCATGGTAGAACCTTTCAGTCCCTTCTTCCAGCTATGACAGTGTATCAGAGTTTAATCACTTGGCAACACACTTGGCCATTTATGAAGGCACAAATGAAGATAACTTGGCTTGAGTCTGAACGAAGAGGCTGGAGGTGGAGCTTGGTCTTGATGACTATATTCCAGGTACTGCAGCTAAAACTGTGCTCACGACCTGGGGTTCAGTCCCAGGTAGCCGGCTCAAGGTCGACTCAGCCTTCTATCCTTCTGAGGTCGCTAAAATGAGTACCCAGCTTGCGGGGGGGGGGCAATATGTAGCCCGTATAAATTGTAAACCGCCCGGAGAGTGCTTGTAGCGCTATGGGGCGGTATATAAGTCCAAAAAAAAAAAGTACAAGACATAGAAGCTTGGAGTTGTTGCAGAGATACTCTGAGGGGAAAGGCAAGGATAGGCCAACTTCAATCTGCAGACTCTAAATGGAACAAAACATTTATAGTCCCATGAAAGATTTAGGATCTCTGCATCTGAAAGATTTCATCACATGCACACTTGACTGCTAGGCACTTTAATTGGATGCAGGGAAGAAACAATATATGGCTTATGGCAAAGCCTTCAATATCTTTCAGGACTTTTGTTTTTAAAGAAAAAAAATGCCTTTGAAGAAGTAGCTCAGATTTTGGTAATTCTGCAACATTAGTTGCAATCCAAAGAAAGTTAAGTCCCATGGAAATTAATCGCTGATGTCCCATTGATTTGGAGGGGGCCAGAAATGAACTTAATGCTCTCTGGCTTGTATTCACTATTATTATCAAACAGCTCTAGATGCTAGTCTTCCAATGTCACATACAAATGTAATGGAAATACAGTAATAACCCTGGAAAAGCTGGCGTGCCAGGGAGCTGCCCAGACTATTCACTCATTGTAAAAGGAGTGTCAAGTACTATTTCAGTTTTTAATCTCTGGCAAAGAAAGAGCACCTAACTTGACAACAAGCAATAGTCATCAAATCAATTTATATGTTTCTCTGCTTTAAAATACTGCCTTGCCATTCCTTTCGTTCGTGTCCATGGCCTTTAGTCATGTAATGGCCTTGCCATTAGTTCTTTTAAATCTTCCAATGTTTCTGTTGACTGATGATGCTTTCTTTTTTTGGCTAATATCTCCATCCTGCAACTACCTGGGCCATTCTTTTCTTTTGTTCTCATCAGGTATGCTTACAATCACTGCTGTTAATACAAATTCATGAACAATGAGAGCATTTAGTCTACTCCAGAAGTGCTTTTTAAAATAATGGTGAGGGAAAATTGATACATTAACACACAAACCACTATGATTTCATACAGTAATTTGGAGCAATAAAAAAATAATACAAACTCCAAACATTTTCTGCATCCTGTCTGTAATGCAGGCTACAGTTGTATGAGACTGGAAACTAGTTAAGGAAAAAAACAACACACACACACACACACCAGCCACTTCTAAACTTCAGTCATACTCCAAACCAATATTCCTAAACTCCGATGATATAATCTCACCTCCAGTGCACCTCTAAACTGTGTGGGTGCATGGTTGTGCAGTCATGCATTGCTCTATTGGTGCAACACACCTGAAGCCAGTGTTGCTGCCCATTTGGTTCCAGTTGCAGCCAAAAAATCCCACACAGAGGCCGGGGGCCCCACTCAAAAGTGGCGTAAAATTAGAGGGGATGTTGCTCACCACCAACAACATTTTAACTTCCCTTTGGCAGGCCATCATATTGAATCCCTGCACATATTCTGCCTACTCTTTTGTCTCCATAAACCAGTTTCAGTATCAGCCGGGAACTGGATTTAAAAGACTATAAATAACAAAGCCAATAGCTGAGACAAAGAGAAAGGGAAGAAGCTGATCTGGCAAGGAATTGCTCTGTCTTTCTTGCCTCCTGTGCAACTTTAGTATGTATTTTGTTTGTTGGTTTGTTTGTTTGTGTGTGTGGTGTTTTGTTTTTAGTGGCAATATTAAATCTTCAGTAGAGTTAATTC